TAGGCTCTAAGAATTTGCATTTCTCATGAGCTTCCAAGTCATACTGATACTGTGGGCCCAGTAAGCAAATTTTGAGAACCACTGACATGAAATGGGCTAAAGGAAGCCCCCTGTGGGGGAGCAGGGGAAGATGGCCCTAGTGACCTCTTCCTCCTCGATCTCACCCTCCTGGGATCTTGACCTATGATCTTCTACAACCCATTCCCCTGGAACTCAGCCCTGGCTGTCCCCTTCGGACAGCATATTATGCTTTGAAACACTAGTTTCTCTCTCCACTGAAACTCATCCCCCAAACCACCTAATTTCACCTGGCAATTCACACTGGTGATGCCCTGACAGGGTCTCTTTTTAACAAGAAGCCTGGTATGAAATCATGTGGCCATGACGTGGCATCTTCAGCTCTGATTAGGCAGGAAGGTCAGAGGAGAGGACTTCCCCTGGTGCCCCCCACCACTCAGCACTCCTGGTAGCATGCTGCTGGCTGCCCACCCTTCAGATTTACACACAAAGGCCACTATCACATTCATGTGCACTTTTTTCCCATTAGAGAAGAAGGTAGGGATGGTTGCAAGGTCTTGAGTAAATATTCTGTTACTCATACCATCAGCCCAATGGCTGGATATCATCACATTTGATATTTTTTATTGCCTTCTGCCCTGGAAAGAAAAGTTGATCCAAGAGGCAACGTTAATTTGCATCCACTTCAACCAAAAATCAGACAGGACCCGATCATTAATGTATAGCTCTTGCAGCTTAAAATACAAGTGATCTTTCTTCTCTGGGACTCAAAAGGGAAGTGCTTAGTAGCCCAAGTTCCCCGGGTCCTCGTTTGGGCCCACAGATCTGTCTCCTGCTCTCCTCAGTTTACAGGGATCTGAGATAAAGCTGAGGGGCTTGAAGTGGGTGCTAGTTTGGTCCTGTTACAGGAAAAAGGCAGAAAATAATTCTGCACAAGAATGTAATGTGCCTTTGAGTTTTCAAAGCTAATGACAAAATCCTGCACATTTTTGAGTCACATTAACATGGTTTGGTGTTCTGATTCTGCTACTTTCCAGCCATGTGATTTGGGGTAACTGACATAAGCTCTCTGAGCCTCAATACTCTTGTTTGTGAAATGGGGCTGTTGCTATCAGCTTTAGAGGGATGTCATGATCATTTAATGAAGCTGTGCATGTTAAGTATCTAGTTCGGTATAGGGCACCGTCAGTGAACTGGTGCCTGCTTAAGAGTTGGCTGTCCTTTGCAGGATTGTCTATTATAGTCACGGGAGACTGAGGTAGGAGGATCCAGAGTTCAAGGCCAGCCTGGGCAACTTAGTGGGACCCTGTCTGAAAATAAAAAACAAAAAGGTCCAAGGATGTAGCTCAGTGATAATGCATCCCTGGGTTCAATCCCAGTACAAAAAAAAAAAAAAAAGCTGGTATCCATGAATAAGTCTCTGGTTTATGGTGTTTACCAATTTCCCTGGTGTAAATACTCTCACCATGGCTGACATTGAGCTAACAACATGTTGCTGAATGAGGATTTGGGAAGAGATGTCACCACAGAAGGAAATAACCTCAAGAACAGAACAGACACATAGACATAGCAAAATAATAAGTGAGGAAACTTACCTTTGCCTTTTGAATACTTACTACCTTTGTGTTTTTTTTTTCCGTCCACATTTTTATTCGTGCATTTCAGTGGTACATAATGGTGGGATTTGTTAAGACATTCACATATGCACACAATGCGACAATCGAATTTGATGGCCTTTGTTTTTTTAAAGGGATTGATTTAATTAAAAGTTTACATAATTTAATTTTTCATGCTGGCTGTATTTCACAAACAGCTCATGAAAACTCCTGAAATATTTAACAATCGACTCTCACCAGCCAGCTCCAGCATGTGGCTGGGCACACGTGTAGTGATCAGTAAATTTAACTGACCCTCCCTCTTCCTTTGCTGTCCACAGCCCTGGGGGAGATTTCATGAAGGTTTTCCCAAGTGGAGACAAAGACATTCTCTGTTCCCCTGCAGGCTCCTTACCTTTGGCCTCAACCCCTCTGGGCCATCATCCCAGTCCTCAATCTGAGCTAAACCTCAGGGAAGGTCCTAATCCTGCTCCTGGCCCCTGACTGGTCTTTTCTCCAGCTGAGAAGCCAAAGAACAACTAACTACAGAGAAGGGGTTGACTGTGCTTAGTGGGGAGGACTCCTCTCTATGGCTAGAGAGTGGAGACTGCGGGTTTATTTTAGGATCTCTGTCTGGGAAGGAGATGGGTAAACAGGGCCAGCAAGCTGTACTTTGGCAAGCCAGGGCCTATAATTAGGCTCTGGTTGAGGGTGAAATAAACCCCTGGTTGTTACTAAACAACAGAAAAAGCAGGAAGGCCTCCAGTTTCTCCAGCCATACAAGCCTCCAAGGACAGACATTTGGACAGAGCCGCCCTATCTACAGGAAGCATCCAAATTACCCTCAGAAGGCACTCGTGTTCCTTCCCAGACCAGAGTGGGAACTCAGAGGTCACCCAGGAGCAAGGACACTGAGAAGCAGAGCTCGGCCTCACCTCACCTTCAAGCCCTCCGCATTTCCTCCCCAGCCCCTTTACAGGCTGACGACCCTAGGCATCCTCTTCCTTATAAACAGTTTCCAATAAACCGGAGAAATGTCACCAACTCACTCCGTACAGGACAAAGCAAAGCCACAGTTTTGTGGGACAAAGTCCAAAAGTCCAGCGGTGTTGATTCTGCCCAGCAGGACTCTGGGGTGACTAGGTTTCTACTCATCTTTCTGCTTTTCCAGAATTTAATCCCCACCCCACCCACACACACACACCAAGGCTTTGTTTGGGAGTTTTTTGTTTCTTTTATTTTTTGCTGTCTACAGCCTGGGTCCCAAGTTCAAAACGTCAAAATAAATACACAAATAAAATTAAGTTGTACCAAAGCGGAGAACTTAAGAGCTTTGGGTCCTTCACCTGCACACGTCCCCTCCTGGGTCCTGTAACTTATTCTAGTCCCTTACATTAATTAATTAATTAATTAATTATTGGTATCAGAGATTGAACCCAGGGGTGCTTAACCACTGAGCCACATCCTCAGCCCTTTTTATTTTTCATTTTGAGACAGGGTCTCACTAAGTTGTTTAGGGCCTCGCTAAATTGCTGAGGCTGGCTTTTTGAAATTGTGATCCTCCTGACTCAGCCTCCCCAGCCACTAGGATTATACGCATGCGCCCCTCAGTCAGTTAAAATTCTTTTTCTTAAAGAGGTTCTCCCAAGTTTTATCAGCGAATGCCCTGCATCCCTCTGCATCAGCCCCTGCGTGGCCACTAGTCTGAACCACTTTTGAAGCAACCTTCTTTATAACCTTTATAACCTTCTGCATTGGTCGTTTTTGAGCACACAGTCTGGACACCAGCCATGACCCAAGGTCCAATGCTTGAGTGGAACATTTTCCAGAGGCATCACTGTGAAAAATCAACCTCAAATAGTCAACTGTAAAATGTTATCTTGAAAGTACAGGTGAAGAGCCGTGATGAGGGAAGGCTGAGGAGCCCAGGGGCAGAAGCAAGTCCCATCTAGGGAGGTAGCAATGATTATGCACCCCTCTTGTACCAATATGGTCACCTTATTTTGTTTCATTCCATTGAATTTCCCACTGGCAAAACTAATCTTTTCTCTGTTCTGGCCTGGCCCTCGGGCACACTGCAGAAGGGATAAACTAGGATCCTCCCCCATTTATTTCTGATCTTATTCCTGTCTTTTGTCTTTGGTGTGTGGAGTCCTTCTTCTAGTCAGTAAAGAACTTGCAACTAAAGATAGAAACCCACAAGTGGGATTGCTGAATCATGTGGTTGTAAGTGTTTTGAGGAACCTGCAGACTGTCTTCCAAAGTGGCTGCACTAATTCACATCCCTGCCATCAGGAGTCCTTCCCTCCACGTCCTCGCCAGCACTTGACATCCTTCATCTTTTTGATAACAGACATCCTAACTGGTGCAATGTGATATATCTTCTTGTGGTTTTCATTTGCATTTCCCTGAGGATTGTTGGTGCCAAGCATGTTAATTAGCTTGATTTAATCATTCCACAATGCAAAATAAACATTTTTAAAAAGCAGATGGCACCCATAAATACATGAAATTATTATTTGTCAATTAAAAATAAAAGATTTTTTAAAAGAACTTGCTATATATATAAATAATACACATATGTATGTGTGCATATACGTATATATGTTTATGTATATGTGTAAATACATATGGGTGTTGTATATATACACACTAGTGTGTGTGTGCATATATATAAGCATATATATATACTTATATATATATAAGCACACTATATTTACATACACTAGTCCCTACCTATGGGGGACCAAATTTGAAAACTACTCTTCAAGCCTCCAATGAAACCCTGAAGGTGAATGAAATTCTACCGTCACACTACATGGTGGCCACCTGACACGTGTGGTTATTTAAATTTAAATTAAATTGAATTTTCAGCCCCTCAGCCCCTGCTTGCTCCATCTTGAGTGTCAGTAGCCACATGTGGCCACCGTGTTGTACGTGCTGATCTAGAACTTGCCCGACACCACAGGAAGTCCTGCTGGGCTGCATTGGTCTAGAGATTTCATCTCGACGGGCTTCAGAGGCATCTGTGATAGGATAGTGTTAACAGTTGCTAAGCAAAGCCAGTGACACTTTGTCTTAAGGAGTCAGAACTCTTCCCCGGAGAGTCAGAGCTCCTCACTGTGAGAGGGGCTGTGGGCAAGTCTGCCTTTGAATGATCCTTTTGTTCCAAAAATCAAATTCTAAAAACTCCTAAGAGACATCCAGAAGTTGGGCCTTCTAATGTCTTCCTCCTCCCCCTTTTCAATTAATTCTAAAAACATGTAGGGAAATTAATTCTAAAAACATTCGCCTGGTGAAAGGTGCTTCCTGTTCCCCAGAGCCTCTGTGTCCCACGCGGGTCACAGTGGTCAGAAACCTCACCTCCCTTGATGTGTGTCGTTGCAGGTGGGCGAGGCCGTTCTGGAAAATGCCAGGCTCATGCTGCAGAATGAGACTCTCCAGGCGGGTGCTGATGACTTTAAAGAGAGGTAAGGCTCTGCAGCAGAGGGGACGTCCCCTCCACGCCCCCAGAGTCCTGGGCAACACAGACCACACTGTCCTGGTATCCACATCCATCCTCATGGGAGGCTGGGGTAAGATAACAGAGGCCCAGGAGACTCCAGATCCATAAATGTTAGGCCAAGGGCACTTGGTTTAGAGCAGGGTTCTCAAGCTCTTGGGTGCATCCTGATCACTCTGGGACCTTACAGAAATCACCGACTGCTGGGCCCCACCCTGAGTTTCTGATTCCAAGGGTCTGAAGTGGCACCTGACATTTCCATTTTTAATGAGTTCCCAGGTGTGCTGATTCTGCTGCTCCTCACACCATACTTTGAGAAACACTGGTTTAGAGTAAGGGCTTGCAACCCTGGCTGCATATTGGAATTACCTGGATACCTAAAATACCAGCACACAAACCCCAAGTAATAATTCAATCAAAATCCCTGGCAGTGGGGCCTGGGCTTCAGGATTTTTAAAGCTCACAGGTACCTTACCATGTACCCAAGCCTGAGAACCGCTGATATAAAGTTTAACACAGTATTTCTTCATGTGTGATGTGCATAGTATTTATGCAGGTTGTTTTAAGTAATATAAGAACAAACATTTTATTTTTAACAGTGATGTATTTATTCTTATAGTTATCTTCTGTTTATGACCCATGAGGTTATTTTCCCACTATAGTAGCACCATTTAGAGTAGCAACTTAAAGTTTATTTTATAAAAGAGATTTTAAACTTTAAGATTTACTGTGGGAGGGGCTACCAGGGGTGATTAACCACTGAGCCACATCTCCAGCCTTCTTTGTGTTTTATTTAAAGATAGGGTCTCACTGAGTTGCTCAGGGACTCGATAAATTGCTGAGGCTGGCTTTGAACTTGAGATCCTGCCTCAGGCTCCTGAGCTGCTGGAATTACAGGCAAGCACCACCATGCCCAGCACATTTACTTTATTTTATTTTTTGTGGTGCTAGGGATTGAACCCAGGGCCTTATGCATGTGAGGCAAGCACTCTACCAGCTGAGCTATCTCTCCAGCCCAAGATTAACCTTTTCAGTAGCTACATTTAAGGAAAAATAGAAAGTAAATAGTGATGCGGGGGGATATGCATTTAGAGCAAAATCATATAGAAGAGTGAAGTTTGGGAAACAGTGGTCAAATGGAGAAGCAAAATGAGGAAGACCTTGAGGGAGAGCATCCTGGGAGCTGGGTTCGTGGATGGGCAATGGGATTATTTCAAGGGACTCTTCCGCTAAATTGATGAAGACAAGAGAGGAAAAGTACATGGTTTGGAGTCTCCACAGAAGAACCTGATCCCATTACCATCTTATCTAAGGATGAGGACACCTTAGGGTAAACTTGAGATCCCAGGTTTGTCCATCTGCTAAATGTATCTCCATTACAAGTCACCCTGGGGTCAAGGAAATTCTCAAACAGTGTGGCTGGGTCACCCACATCCCATTCAGAGCAGCCCCATGGAGTGAAACCAGCACCCCAGCCTCTGACAGCTATGCAAAGAGAGACTCCAGTGGACATAAAGCCACATGCAGTAACTTTTAAATAGCAGGTACGGTGGCACACACCTGTAATCCCAGCAATGTGGGAGACTGAGGCAGGAGGATCACAGGGTTGAGGCCAGACTCTGCTACGTAGCAAGACCTGGTCTCAAAATATAAATAAATAAATAAATAGGACTGGGGATCTAGTTCAGTGGTAAAGCGCCCTTGGGTTCCATCCCCAGTAACACAAAAATAAATAAATGAATAAATTTAAAATGGAACTTCATAATAGTATGAAATTAAGGGAGGAACTGGCTGCAATTTATTTCACTCATTCATCCACTGATGCATTTATTTATTCACACACACACACACTTCTTCCACGCCACAGACTAGCACATGACACACCAAAAAGCAAGGACTTGGTCTATTTCACTTCTCGCTATCACAGTGCCAGGCTCGAGATAAATGCTCCACAGATACTTGTTGAATCAATAAACGAATCAATTCAACAAATATTTGAATGCCAGCTCTGTGCCCGGCGCCATGCCAGGTGCTGGGAATGAGGTGAACGGGACGTGGTTCCAGACCTCAGGGCCAATGGTAAAGTCGCCGTAGGGATAATGACATTGCAGGATGGATGAGCACAGGTGAGGAAGGTCATTTAGCTCTGCCAGGTGATACCCAGTTTGGGTCCCAAAGCTCAGGTAGGAGTTGGCCTGGCCACCGAGAAGGCACACGTGTAAGGACAGAGGTACAGCACAGTGCTTCGGGGGGTGTAAAGCAGCCCGTGCACATGGAGGGAATGAGGTGGGGAACACAGATAAGGCTGGAAACCCAGAGAGAGGCCAAGTCCTAGGAGACCTTGTCAGTCCTACCGAAGATTGTGCCAATATAAGAGCAGCGAAACCCACAGAAAGAGTGGGTGATGAGCAGTGACTCATGGAGACCAGATTTAGCTCTAAAGAGGTCTCTGCATTGATGAGAGATATGTGATTTATTTTGAGACCAGGTCTTGCTAAGTAGCAGAGTCTGGCCTCAACCCTATGATCCTCCTGCCTCAGTCTCCCACATACGCTAGCAAGATGCTCCCACAAGGCCAGCAGGAGAGAGGGGACTGGGCCGGGACTGGGAGTTGTTGGGAAATAAGGTGGATCTGATTATTAAGGAGGCTGAAGTCCTCTGATCGGAACACTGACCCTGTGTGGTTAATGATGGTCACTCTGGAGCCACACTTAGAGGAGGCAACTCGGAGGCCACTGTAGTTCAGGCACAAGGTGTTGAGGGCCGGCTCAGGACGGTAGCCACGGGCTGACTTAAGCAACCATCTAAGAAAGTATCGGCAGGATCTGACAATAATCTGCATACCCAGTCTGAAAAGAGGAAGCAAAGGTCAATTCCAGGTTTTGAACCTGGGCTAAGGAGAAGACCTGTGATGCTATTTACTGAAATAAGAATGGAGGAGGGAATGCCTGTCCAGCTTTCAGGGCTACGCGACGAATTCAGAGCTGAGTGGTGGTGAAGGAGCCCAGGAGAAGTGGCGGGGCTAGGCCAGGCCGTTCTGGGTGTCAGGAGCTCAGAGGTGCTCACTAAAGACTTCAGGGTGGAGGGAAAGGGAAAGAGGGGAACAAGAGAAGGCTAAAATCTTACATCAGCCTTGGGGGCATCACAGGGCGTTTTGAATCCTTAGAGAAATTGAAAAAAAAAAAAAAAGTCTATATGGGACCTAAGGGCACAAACAAATCCTGATTGACAATACATTCCTTCCTAAATAATACATTCCGGTAGAAAATCTAATCCTACAGAAAGGGGTTGACAAGAATGCTTCAGAAGCCGTCCCCTGAGAGCTGATTCAAGGTGCAGGTCTCCTTGATTCCTTCATTTAACTTTTTGTTTGTTTGTTTGGTTGGTTGGTTAGGTTTTTCATGCTGGGGATCCAACAAAGACCTCTACCACTGAGCCACATCCCCAGCCCCGCTGACGGGTCATACAAACCCAAGAGGGACCGTGAAGACTAAGGATGGCAGAATTGGCATTAAAAATGACCCCACCACACATTAGAACAATGCGCCAGTGAAATTGAAAGAGGACAGATATCAACTTCTACTTTGGGGTTTGGGGAAATCGGGCTTTGAGGAGCTCTGGTGGAAATGCTCCGGGGTTCAGGTTGACAGGAGGTTCGAAATGAGTCAGCAGCAAACATCAAATGAGCAAATGTGCTAACAGACGAAAAGCCACAAAATCAATTTTGGGGACCACGATGAAAAGAATTCGAGTCAAACAAAGGAGCAGAGGGCCTCACAGGAATCTGAATTCATCCAGCAACATCTGGAGTTCAGAGTTCAATTCTCTTGTTTCATATTTTAAGATAGACACAGACCAATAGAAGCATTTCTGATTAGTCCACAAATATATCTGAAGCCTAAAGTGGGGTGCAGGGAACGCAAAGAGGGGAAGGCCGCAGTCCCTGCCCTTGACGATTACGTGGAAGCCATCTACCTGAGGAATGGAGGAAGGAACTGAAAACGTTTAATCTGAAAAAGAAAAGGCTTGTGGGGATGGGGTGTTGGGGGAGGACACTAAATATCTGTAGGACTGCCAATGGAAGGGTCAGCAGACCCTGGGTGTTCCAGATATTAGAACTCAAGAGTTTTACAGGAATCGAGATTTAAACTCTTGGAGGAAGCAATCCAAAGATGGAAAGGTGACCTTAAAAGGTGACAATTTGGCCAGCCCTGGAAATAAGCAAGCAGAGGCTGCGATGATGGTCTGTCAGGAATGCCATCGAGGGATTGTCATGGGGCAGGGGTTTGTCTGTGGAGCTCTAAAGTCCCTTATAATTCTAAGACCCTAAGAGGCTTCCTGGAAGGAGCAGTGTGTGACTCCTCCCTTCTGGGGAACGGATGGAGGTCAGGTGTGAAGTTTGCATGTCATAGCCAAGGAAGGGCGGGAACCGCACCGGGAGAAATCGGCAAAGATGGCAGGTAGTTTCTAGAAAGAAAGTTCTGCTGCAAACCAGAGATTTTGAGAACTAGGATTGAAACAACACAGAGTAGGCAGTTTAGATGTGTGTGTGTGTGTGTGTGTGCATGCACGCATGAGTGTGCATGTACACACACTGGTGCACACGTGCATGTTATTACATACGTTGTAGGTGTTTAAAACTCTGGATATTTCATATATAAATCCTAGCTTCCTGCTTCTCTGGAAGAGATCTGTGTCAAGCCCCTTCCCACACAGTGGAGAGAAACTGGGCAGCAGCGCCCCTATAGGTTAACATCGAGTTCTGCAGTGTACTTCCACCCCCACCTTTCCCTTGGGGTCCCTCATCCACATTCCCCATTTGGGTTTGCAGCCACAGCTGGGAATTTCAGCACAGTCCCCATTTGGGGATTCCCCAGCCTGGTCCTTAGCAGGACCTCAGTGATGTCCATTAAATGGTCCTCAGGTGAAAAGGAGGACAATTCAGGACAGCGATGAGGATGCTGGACCCCTTACAGGGATCTGAACTCCTGGACAAGCCTTCCCTAGAGGGCTGAGCTCCAAAGGCCCCAGGAGGGTGGCAGCCCATGAAGCCAGCTTACCAGATGTTAGCTGCTGCGATCACTTTCATGTTAGGAAATTGACCCGGGAACAACCAACAGGGGTCTCAAAGTTATTGGAACAAATAACTTTTTAAACATTCATTGTCTGTCCCATAATTGGCCTTCCGGTAGTCTCTGTAATCTGATTGTTTTTTTTCTTTTGGGTCAGCCAGATATGCTGATTGAGTTCCTTTACCTGCAGATATGAAAATGAGCAGCCATTTCGCAAGGCAGCGGAAGAGGAAATTAGCTCTCTGTATAAAGTCATTGATGAAGCTAATTTGGCAAAGATGGATCTGGAGAGTCAAATAGAAAGTCTGAAAGAAGAACTTGGCTTTCTGTCAAGGAACTACGAAGAGGTGGGTGGCACCGGGATGGCAGGGTTGACCACAGGGACAAGGCGCTGGCCTGGCCATAGCCACCAGAACTCCTCTTGGCCTCTCTGCATTATTCACTGCCTGCCCAGGTCTGCAGGGGAAAGACCAGTGAAATACTATCAAATCCTCGAAGTGGGTCAGGTTTCCCTAGAAGTCAAAACTCAAATAGCTTCGGGAACCAGGATGCTACATAAATGAGGGAAGCCGCAGGTCTAAGCTGAGGAGAGAGAGAGAGATGGAACCTGTTTTGACTGAAGGGTGTATTTCCTTCCCCAAAGCATTCCACTCCAGATACTTTTTCAACCCTGTCTAGGATCAACAAGATAACTTTGAGCTCAGACCTAAACTGTGGATCACACACACTCATGAATAAAACTAGGTCAGATCTTTGAGTGACAGGACGAAAGGACACCTTCTACCGTCACTTGGTCCAGTTCCCCCAGCACTGCACTGACTCTAAATCACCTCATCACATTATTGTCTGGTCCACCATTTAAAGTTCTTCCAGTTAAAAGAATCCAAACCCACTTAACAACACTCCCATCAGGAAGTTCCTCTTTGTGTCCAACCTAAGCTAACCAGCCACTGTAAGCCCACTTCCTGCTGCTCCTATCTCCATCATTTCAGACCACGCTCTGACAGTAACCCTTTAGAGACTCCAAAGTTATCCTTAAATGTCTTTTAGCCTAGCCTGACTTTATGCCTAAGTATTCTTGCATACTTTCTTTTTGTTTTTATTTAGTTAGTTATGTATTTTGATTTTTGCTTGGGGCCTGGCCTTGTGGATATGGCCTTGGGCATTTGTAATGCCCAAGAAATGCACCCTTGGGAAGGGAACATGGTTCCTATGCCAGGAGGAGGAATAGGGACTTTGCCCGTCTCCATAAGACCCATGTTTGGCAGAGAGAAGCAAAAGTCCTGTGTGCGGGGCCGGCCTTCTGCTGGCTAGAATCCCATGGCTTTGCTTTTTCTCCTGGAACTTACCTGGGGTGTTCTTGTCGTTTTCAGGATGTAAAGGTGCTGTACAAACAGCTCGCAGGGTCTGAGCTGGAGCAAATGAATGTTCCCATGGGCACTGGTCTGGATGGCATCCTTGAGACAATCAGGATTCAGTGGGAGAGAGACGTTGAAAAGAATCGGGCGGAGGCAGGAGCCCTGCTCCAGGCTAAGGTAAGAGGCAGGGCCAGCATCCTGCACCCAGCCCCTCGCCCAAGGAGCCCAGGCAAACATGAAAGGCGTCATCTTGCAGGAGAAGAAATGCAATGGCTGAGCAGCAAGCTCAGTCTCATTTAACATGGAAAAAATACAAATTAACATATTAACTTTTTTTTTTCAGTATTGGGGATTGAACCCAGGGGCACGTGACCACTCAGCTACACCCCAGAGCTCTCTTCATTTATTTTTTTAAATCTTGAGACAGGGTCTCCCTAAGTTGCCCAGGCTGGCCTTGGACTTGCAATCCTCCTGCCTCAGCCTCTGGAGTCTCTGGGGTTACAGGCATGCACTAATACATGTAAACAATAATAATTTTTTGTGGACCTATTTAAAAGCAGAAGATGGTTCAAATGATAATCCCAGCAGGTATGCAGAAAAGTAGCTTTTTTGCTGGGTTATTGAAGAGCACAAACCAGTATAACACCCTTGAATAAGGGATTTGGAAATATATATCAAGAGCCTTAAAAACTCCATATCTACCAGCTGAAAAACCTATATCCTTAAAAAAAATAACTGAAAATATAAGGGCTGGGGTATAGCTCAGTGGTAGAGTGCTCGCCTAGCATGCACAAGGCCCCAGGTTCAATCCCCAACACTGCAATAAAAAAGAAAATACTAATAGTTAATGCCCAAATACACTCACTGAAGCATTATAAAAGTGAAAGGAAATGGGAGCCAAAGTATATACATGTTTGATAATAGGAGAGAGGCTAAGCCACAAGCTCACTATGCTGTGTGCCATAAGATAGAAAGCAGTCCTTAGGAATGGCATTTACAAAGTATTTACGAGAAGATGGGAGAATGTTCATGGTAAATGAGGAAACAGGAAAAAGCAGAATGGTATATTCTAGGGGCCAACAAGCTTTTTTGAAAGGACTAAATAGTAAATATTTCAGACTACAGAGGCTGAATGGTCTCTGTTGGAACTGCTCAGCTCCACTACGGTAGCATGAAAGCCACCAGAGACCAAGGGAGGGACAACCATGACTGTGTTCCAATAAAACTTTATTTACAAAAAAAAACCAGGAGCTTAGCCCTGTTTGGTCTTCTGGTAGCCGTGTGTCCGTGCCTGGTATGTGCAATAGAGTAAAGCATTCAAGCAAGGAAACTGGGCCTCAAGAAACATTAACAGGGCTGGGGGTGTGGCTCAGTGGTAGAGCACTTGCCTACCCTGTGCAAGGCCTTGGAACCAAAAAAATAAAGTAAGCAAAGAGGACTAATAGATTAATGGTGCTGGCTGGGGTGGCACATACCTACGTCCCAGCAACTTGGGAGGCTGAGGTAAGAGGATCTCAATTTGGAGGCTAGCCTTAGACAACTTAGCAGGAACCTGCCTCAAAATTTAAAAAATAACATTTTGGGCTGACGATGTCACTCAGTGTTAGAGCGCCCCTGGGTTTGATCCACAACATCACAAAAGAAGAAGAAAAGAGAAGGAAAAGAAAGAAAGGCCTATTAATGGTATTAGCAGTGGTTTTCTTGGAGTAACGGATTATTCTGACACTTGGAGTTATTTTTTTCTTTCTTGGTTTTGACTATTTCTCAAATTTTTCTTAAGCAGTAAGAATTATACTCAAGGGGGGGAAAGCAACTTTTATTAAAGTCTCACGAACAGCAAAGGAATTAACCAGAAAAATAGAATGCAGAAGATTGTTTTTGGCCGGGAGGGGTTACTGGGGATTGAACTCAGGGGCACTCAACCACTGAGCCACATCCCCAGCCCTATTTTGTATTTTATTTAGAGATGGGGTCTCACTGAGTTGCTTTGCACCTCACCGTTGCTGAGGCTGGCTTTGAACTCACGATCCTCCTGTCTCCGCCTCCCGAGCCACTAGGATTACAGACATGCACCACTGCGCCCTGTGCTAGAATATAGATGTTTTGTTCTTCCCTTCTCCGTCTCCCACCCATTCTTGGTGCTGAATTTTGAGGCAGAGGATGCAAAAAAGCAGAAGAGCAAGGAGAATGCAAAGGCGTGGGGACAGACGGTAGCTGTTTGAGTAAAGGCCAGAGGGCCACCTCGGTGCTCTGAGTTTTCAGTCAGAAGTTCTAATCCTGGTTCCCCAGCAGAATTATCTCAGAGCATTTTCCAAAACGCCGGTGCCTAGGCTCCATTCCAGAACAATTAAATCAGAAGGAGCGGAGGGACTTTGTGGTTTTTGCCAAGCTCTCTGGATGATTCTAACACGCAGCCAGGCTTGAGAATCAGTGATGGTTACAAAAGCCACCCAAGGAAACCAGGAGAGCCCGTTCTGTGCTTTCTTCTGCCACGCCCCCCACCCCTACCCCGGACCCCCAAGGACCAACAGGAACCAGCAATGATCTTTCCCAGTTCTGGAACACCACCCCCATTTTCACTAACCCAAGAAACATCTTATAATCCCCCATTCCTCCACCCCTTGGCCTTTTTTTTGATAACTTCTTTCCTTTCTGTTCATCAATTCCTTGAGCCAGATCACTACCAACACTTTCTGTGGCAAATGGTATCCAGCACCTCCAGAAAATGACCCCCCCCATACACTTCTGCCCAAACTGGTAGCAGATATAGACCAAGGAGGTGAAGTGAGGCCAAACCATGGATTTAGCTTTGCCTCTTCTTTTAAGAAATATGTGATCGAATCCCATTCCCTCTTTTTAGAGGTAAGGAAACTTGAGACCCAGAGAGCACAGTTGACTTTCCAAGGTTCCACAGCAAGATGGTAGCACCAAATTCAACCCCCCTGGCTCTTAATGCAGGGATGTTTTTGCTTCATTGGTCTGCATGGTTTCTTTCCTAGCTCTGTTCCCAAAGCTAAATCCCAGAGGCCCAGTGGGATTTGCAATTTTACAACTGTCCCAGCATTGCTGGGATGTACGCCATACTGTAGTAGCCTTTTCTTTGGCAAAAGGCAGGGCCAACAAAATTATCAAAACTAAATCCTGCTAGCCAGAAGTAGTGGTGCACACCTATAATCCCAGCGACTCAGGGGGCTGAGGCAGGAGGATCCCAAGTTTGAGGATCAGCCTCAGCAACTTAGCAAGACTATTCTCAAAAAAAAAGGGCTAGGGGTATGGCTCAGTGGGTCAAGTGCCCTGGTTTTAATGCCTGATCTGAGGAAGGAAGGAAGGAAATCCTTAAATCCTGCCTACTATGAAAAAAAGAAAAAAGAAACTGGGCATTACTATTCACACCTCACCCCTTTGAGAATCATTACCAGTCCAACAGTAACTCCAACATTAATTCTGAACAGATTCATTAGTGTTTTTTTAATAGAGTAATCTGAAAGCTACATCTCAGAGAAAACAGACAGTTCTTGTTTTCGTTTGGCCGGGGCTGCCTGGGCCTCTTGCAGAGAGGCAGAGCTCAGAAAATATTTGCAGAATGAGTGAATTCCTCTGATCATCAACAAAGATCAGAACTGACAGCCAGAATTCCTCCAATAAATAGTTTTGTCAGCTGCAGTTCTGCCCTCGGCGGCTGACATTTGCCCGTCCTGAGCGTCTCTTGTCTGTTTCTTGGCAGCAGAGCATAAATGTGAAATGGCTTAGCGCACACGCCGGCTTTCAAAAGCTTTTGTAAAGAGAATGCAAACATGCATTTAATTACCTTTCAGCCCAAGGAGGCTGAAAATTAATTAACATGATTAATTCATGTCTTAGTTTAAGTTCCCCCAGAAGCAGATCTTGAGACAAATATTGGAAGTGGAAGCGGTTTATTGGGAAGTTAGTGAGCGCAGGGAGGAGACCCACAAAATTCCCGGTAAAGGAGAAGCAGAGAGGGAGCCAACAAAGAGTGTATTATGAAAGCAGCTACCCCCTGGAGATTGGCGCATAGGCCCAGGGGGATTCTGGGAAGGGGTCTAGACTGCAGGAGGGGAGAGGCTGGGAGCTGGGGTATTAATGCTCTCTCCTGTCAGTCCTCCCCCATCTGCTAACAGAGTGACCTTTAAAAGGCTTCAGGGAAAGCTCTCAGACAGAGAGGCAGAATCCAGTGGGAAGCCCAGGAAGCGCTAAACCTTGAGGACCTGAGGGATGAGGGCAGGTACCATGAGCACCTGCTGCAACCTATCTGCCAACTCTTTTCTGGTTTTTAATTGTTAAAACTAGTTCTGGCCAGAGTCAGTACAGTGACCACACTCCCTTCAGCCAGGGTGGTCTGGTGTCAGGAACCTCGGGGGTCCAGGATTCTGAGCTGTATGGTTCAGGGGTTGCAGAATCAGGCTGGTTCAGAGAATGCATGTTCCTGAAGTCTGGCTCTTTGTTGTGTATTTGCTGTGGTTTCCTAACTCCAGGTACTTAGGGATACTCAGGAACTTCAAACAATGTGCTCCTACTCTCCAGACCTCCTGTTTAGCCTTGTGAAAAAAGAAAGGAAAAAAAAAAAACTTTATTTTTCTTTTGCACATGCTCTATCACTGGACTACATCCCTAGCCCTTCATATATATATGCTGTAAATGGAAACAATATCTTTATTTTTTTTTTAATGTGGTGCTTAGAATTGAACTCAGTGCCTCACTCATGCTAGGCAAACACTCTACCACTGAGCCACAACCCCAGCCCCTCTTATTTGTTATTTTGAGATGGGGGTCTTCCTAAGTTGCAGAGGATAGCCTCCAATTTGTGATCCTCCTGTCTGAGACTCCCAAGTTGCTGGGATCACAGGTGTGTGCCATCACCCCCAGTTTAAAACTTTCCCCCTATGCTCTCACACAACTTCTGACACTCCTCCTGCCAGAGGACAAAATTACAACTTTGTTTAATGATCCTAATCGCCTTTATTTTCAATTCCAGGCTCAGGCAACACATCATTTTATAAGACAGAATAGTATTGTGGTGAGCAGAGGAGGTTGGTTTTATAGACAGAAAAGGGTTGAAGAAAGCAGAAATAACAATAAAAAAGTAGATTGGTCCTTTCAAAGTTATTTTCCTTGGGAAACCGGACCTGGGAGACAGAACAATAGAAAAAACCACTGAT